GCAGCGAAAGTGTGTTTTCAACAGGCAAATGGAGGAATTCTTTCTCTGGTTTGTGTTTGTTTTGTTTACGAGTAGTGATGGGATGGAGCCTACTCCATGAAATGGGTCAGCTGATATGGTTCAGACTAGGATGCCTCTGGAGGTTTTCTAGATATAGTCCACTGGGAAGCGACCCTGGGGCAGACCCAGAACTTGCTACAGGGATTATACAGTGTATTCTCTCCTGGTCTGAGAATGTCCCAGAATCCACTAGGAGGAGCTGAAGAGTAGAATCTCTCGTGACTGAAAGAACAAGATACCATACAAATGGCTGAAATGGGCTTCCTTTGTAGATTGGCTGGACTTTTGAAATAAACAGAAAAGGTTGGAGTAGTGCCACTGCTGCTCCACGTCAAAGGGAGTCAGCTGAGGTGGCTGGGCGTCTGATGCTTCTATAGGCACCTACCACTGGAGGTTTTCCAGACAGGTCCCACTGGAAGGAGACCCCAAAGCAGAGCCAGAATTTTCTTGAGAGATTATGCATTCTTTATAGTGTGAGAATGCTTTAAGATCCCCAGGAGGAGCTGGGGAGTGTCACTGGGGAGGGAGGGGGTGTCTGGGTTTCACCACTAAACCCTTTACAAACTTTCCTATACAGAAAGCTGATGCATTTCAAAAGAAGTAAGCGATACTGTATATATTTAAATCTAATTAGTTTCCCAAAGCTAATAATACTTTTAAAAAATGCTGCTTTCTTCAACTGTTTTCCTCTTTAAAATCTAATATCTTATCATCATGCAAGACTTATTTTTTATTTGGATTTCAAACAATTCATAACAGAGGAAAAAAAAATTGTATAGGTCCTCTGGACGGGTTCTTCTTTAATGAAACGTTTCGTCTCTCTTCCAAGAGACTTCTTCAGTCTGAGAGTTTCAGGCAAAATTCAGGCTTTTATGTCCTGCCTCCAGGTGACTGATACTCACATCACATGACCATCGTTCACAGGTGACTCCCACTCACATCACCTGGCTATGGCTCACAGGTGACTGATACTCACATCACATGGCCATCGTTCACAGGTGACTCATACTCACATCACATGGCCATCGTTCACCCTAATTAATACCTTTTGTTAACAGGGGGTGGAGTGATACTGCCAATGGCAGCGCTGTAGCAGGGGGACAGCTGAAAACGGAGGCCCCCACCTCTGTTTAATGACGGACGGTCTTTCTTTACAAAAATGGCTTCTTTTACTCCTCTCTCAAACCAACGTTCCTCCCTATCAAGAATGAGAACATCCTCATCTCTGAAAGAGTGACCGCTGGCCTGTAAATGAGTGAAAACTGCAGAGTTCTGGCCATTAGATGTAGCTCGTCTGTGTTGGGACATTCTTTTGAACAGTGGCTGCTTTGTTTCCCCGATGTATAACTGGTCGCAGTCCTCCTGGCACTTCACAGCATATACAATATTGCTCTGTTTGTGCCGGGGCACCGGATCTTTGGGGTGAACCAGCCTTTGCCGTAATGTGTTTTGGGGTTTGAAAGCTACTGGGACATCATGTTTAGAAAATAAACGTCTCAGTTTCTCCGAAACACCCGCAACGTACGGATTATTATTTTTTTTCCTTTGATTTTTTACCTGGATTACTGAGATGCATCAGGACAATTCATAACAGACTTGTTTAGAAGGAGTTTCAGCATTATGACTGATAAGTAAGGTCTCTGAACAGGACTCAGGCTTTTTAATGCAAATTTTCTTTATAGTCTAGGTTCTTTTTCCAAGTAGCATAACGCAGTGGCTCTCAAACAGAGATTTTTTTTCTTTTATTTGCCCGACACCAATCACATTCTATGACTCACTCTTCCTATTTGGTAGTCTTATAGCGCTGAAAAGTGCAGACACATGTACACAATGACTACGAGTGAATGGAGTGTAGAACAAACATGAAAGATAAAGTACTCTCAGTAAAACCATACTCTGCAAATTTGCTGTTTGAGCAGTGCCGTGAAGGCAGAGCAATGAGGGTGCCATTTAATAGGTTTGGTACGCCTCAATGGTACCTGCACAAACCTGCTAGATGGTGCTGTTACACTTTGAAAGCAATCAAAATCACCACTGGCTTTGAAATAGTTATCCTGAGCTCCAAGCTGAAATAAATAAGAATGTGATTAAAATCAGTCAAGTGTTTTTCGCACCGAGGTCTGTGAAACTAGAATGAACTGCCTTGTCTTTGAATTTTAATTCTGTCCCCTCCTAAAGCCTGTCTTTGTTCAAGGATGTGGGTACCGGGCAGCGTTGCAATGTGTTACAGAAAGATATCATGCGTTTAGAGCAATTTAGCCACCTATTAGCAAATAAATGCACAAATAAATGTGCAATTGCTGAAAAAAATCCAACTGAATAACACTTCATTAGCAGCCAATTGTACTGGGATGTCTGATTTTAATTATTTAGGTTTATGTAGAAATGCAGAAAATAAATTAAGGGTCTAATATTCCCTGAAGGAATGCATATTGCTGGCTGCCTTCCATTGCAGAGACTAAGACTAAGATCATCTTGTGTTGAGAATAGATGGAATTTAGCCATTTTTGGTTAAACCTTGAAAATAACTTTTTGCACAGTCTTATTCAATATCTGCCTGATGTGGCTGTGAATGACTCTCAACTACTACCACACCAAATTTGAGCATTTTCTTGTGCACTAAAGCATAGTCAGTTGTGTGTGTTAGGTCCATTTGCTGTGGCAGCCATCTTGAATTGGTTTGACTCCAATGGTTAATAAGCTGTAAATGCAGCCAGTTACTATTTTCTGAAGGTTTCACGTATTTATGGTTTGTGATTTCAGTAGTTATTAGCAAAGTTTTAAACACTCATTTTGTGTGCTCAGAAGCTCCCAGAGTCTAAATAGAATAGAATAGAAGAATAGAAATAGCCTTTATTGTCCTGCTGAGGGGAAATTCAGGTATCACAGCAGCATCAGTACAGAGGTTCGCACACTAGTTACTTTTCCAACTATAGATAGTACACACAAAACAAAATTAACACTGACTAGCCATGATACAACTACTACTAATAAAAATATAATATAAAAAATTGTGCAAGAATAGAAAACAATGTTTTGTTTCAGAATTTGACATAAGAAATCAGAAATTGCCTGTTTTCAGTGCAAAACAATCTCAACAGACCAATAACTGTAAAGTGAAGTACCACAAGGCAGACAATAAAGTAGTGCAAATGATTGTAGTGCAAATTGTGGCTCAGTCTCAGCTACTACCACACTAGATTTAAATAAAAGGATATTATAAAGTGCTACCAATATAAGAGCAAATAATAAGAATTTAAGTTATGTAAAGGGCAATAAAAAGCTATTCTTAATAAACAAAGTCAGATGTTTTAATGCTATTTAGCAGGCGTAAAGATCCACTGATGTGTTGGTGTAGCTGGGGACACTTGACAGCTATTGTGTCTGGCAGCTTTAATACAAAGGGGAAATAAGCCAAATGGCATGAGTCAAATAATGTTTATGTGCTTTCAGAGAATTAATGAACCCTAATCAGCTTTTAAACACCCCTTACCCACGTCAAGGCGTATTATACTATATACAGGTACAGTACAGCAGAGGGTCGGTTATGTTGTTTAAACTTCTCATTCTGATGGATTTTCTCTGTTAGAGGAGTGTACAGACATAAATGTCTCAATAATAATAAAAAGTTCAAGTTTTTCATGCAGTTTGCAGATTTACAGAGCATATTTATTCCGTTTTAGTAGTATTCAGTGTGTCGTTTAGCTAGATTTGTATTGTTTTGTTTTGGAATACATCGCAAACTCTGTATGATAAGTTTTAAAAATAAATCTGCACCAGCTTATTAGCCTTCTTTTTTTTGTAAATCTTATTGCAGCTCTGAGCACTATAACCTTGCTTTTCCACTCAGTCCTGCCTCACAGCCGGAGATCTTGTTTTCCCCCCTCCCATGCTGAGATTTTGTTAACATTTCTACCTTCTCCATACCAAGGACGATATTGTTATGTCATTGCCCTGCCAATTCAGGGGGCTCAAATTGGATTATGGTCCATAATGAGCTCAGCCTCCTTCTATAGTTATGAGGGTAATGAAATCTGTTATTTGAGTTAAGGAGCAACGAGGAGAAAAGACAGACTTCCATTGGTGACTGCTGCTCCACTGTCTTCCCTCATTGGCATCAGATAAAAAAACAAAACATAATTATCGCTGTCTGCCAAAGGCAAAGGCGACAGTTTTTGCTCATGTCTGTGTGCGTTCAGTTGTCTGTTGTGGCAGCAAAATATCGCATAAAACCAATAGATGGATTTCAAAGAAACTTTAAGAAACTAATCCCTGAATGTACATCTAAAACTGATTAACTTTTAGAGTCAAACCAGTTCAAGATGTCTGTCTGTTTTCATAGATATTGAACTAAAAGTTTAGTATGGTAGTAGCTGAGAGTCGTTCACAACACATCCTGTTGATGTGCCTGGACATTGCACATAACATCCTTTTCAAGGTGAAAGGAATTGTGCAATGAGACCCCAAATCAGCTGCAGGAAACTGGTCCAGTATGAATGAGTTGGATGTTTATTTACACACACGTAAAGATTGTCACAGTGCTGTGGACCATAACATCCCAGGGGACCAATAATGGCTCCACTTATAAGTAAAAGCAATGCTTTTATAGTATCACTTGGGATATGAGTTCATACCTCTAAAACAGTTCTACATTTCTGAAAAAACAAAACAAAACATTATGTTTAGACTGTTGGATCAAAGTGCATGTTAGGTCGTATTCACACCTAACAGTCCGGTAGACTCGGTTCGATTGGGGACCAAAATTGCAACATTTGTTTATGTTTTCAGTTTGTACGGTTCACATTCACACTGCACTTTGTCAACCGAACTAAACCCTGTAAACAACCTGTTCCCCACCTCGCCTGTGGTGGCGCTGCACCAAGAACCACTAAAAGAATTGACACGAAAACCCCAGAAGAAGACATGGAGCGTGCCTTGCTTCCTCACAAAATGTAAACGAACATGGAGTGATGTCAGATTTTAGTGGTTGTAGGATTTATTTTTTATTTTTGGCAAATGTGTCCAACAGTCTTCAACGATGGACTTAGCAAGAGCGAAAGATGAGGCGGAACCGTGGTGAATATTGTTTTTCACACAAGGCAGCTGAGACGGCTCCGTTATAAGGCAGCATTCACCGAGAAGGAGCGCATCAACTTCATAGCAGTGATGTCCACCTTATACAGACATCAAGCGAGGTATTTACAAAATACGAGAATCTTTATAACTGTTATTGCTCAAAATGCCCTGTGTTATAGTCTGCTTCCTGCTTTTGGAATGGTCTCCGGTCCCCTTGGCATTCACATGTGCAATTAAACCATACCAGAGTTCGCTGCAATCGAACCGAGACCTACCGTACGTTTGTAGGGCAAACCAGAGTTAGCTTTTTTGGTTCGAATCAGAGTTCGATTACACACGCACACCTCCCCAAACAACTTTCCAGGCAAACGAAAAAGCGGACTGTTGATTCTCTTACTGTTTAAAGTAAATGTTTACAAGTGATCACAAGATATAAGATCTAAAATTCAGTTAGTCAACCACAAAAAATCCAACAAAGGTTTGATCAAAATAGCTGTAACAATCAAGAGATATTTGGCGAGCGATATTCATTTCCTCAAGGAAGACTGAGCCCATTCATTTTGTAAGAATCTTTTAAAGATGATTTTAGTTGAGCTTTAGAATAATTTTTCCAGACTGGCTCCTTCCAAATTAGATGTAATGTACAAAAAAGTACCCAAGAAAAAAAAGTCTTTAAATAACGTCTTTCCCCATCTATTATGAAGGTTGTGATAATGGGTAGACAATTTGAGAGTTTGGAGTGCTAGAAAAGGAAACAGCAGAAACCTCCAGAATGCAGTATTATCTTTTTTCCCCCAAGACATGAGTACAGGAATATATTTTGGAACCCAACACCATTCTGTTTGGCTTTCATACTGGATGGAAAGAGAGAGCATTCGTTAACAACATATGGTGTAATTCTAGACACGTCACAAAGAAGGAGCTTCTCTGTGTGTATCCTTGGCATTGATTTTTAATGAGTTTTCTTTTGTAAAATCTCTCAAAAAACATGTTGTGTTTGTATCAGTTGATTTTGCATGGAATATCTTGAGCTGAGATAAACTATTTGTTTGGGTCTTCTTTATTTTTTACAACCCATAAGAACATGTTCTTCTAAAAATCAACAAAACAATATATAAAGCAGAGAATAACATAAATTACATGTTTATTTTTATTCATTAGCATACAATACATGAAGAGCTTGGTCTAATTCTTCCATTTGTCATGAGGCACAACTTAGCCACAAAGGGCTGTTTAAGCAAACACTGCGACGCCAAGGGATTTCACACAAGCTGCCCTCTTGGGAAGTTGATGAAATGGTTTACACGATATCATGGAACCTCCCCCACACATAGGCTAAAACACATTTCCATATTTCATTCCTGGAGACAAAACACATTTCAATGAGGAAGGGATATGTAGAGCAAAAGATATACAGCCGGGAATGGAATAATCTAAGCTTGGTGACCAATGCAACCTTTCCAAAATAATAAGGTGGCAGGAGTTGTAAGCAGGCGTGGAGGGAGATTGGCAAGATTTTATCACGAGACCAAAGGCATATTAATCATAGTCTGGGCACATATGAGCACAACAGTAAGAAAAAGAGCTCAGGAAAGGTTAATGTGAGGAAATGGGTGTAATATTGCACAGCATTGGAATACTAAAATGGTGCTTTCAAATGCAGCATAGCAACTTTGTCACGTGTCATTATATATAAGGCAACGGCGGGGAAAAAAAAGTGGATGCCATCTGCTAAACAGCATGAATTCAACAACAAAACTGAACTGTTTGTGTGTGGGAAGCTCAGCTGGTTAAGGATGTCAGTTTGAATCTGACTCAGCCTTTCCTGCGTGACATCCACTTTCTCTCATATTGCCTGCATCTCTGTACAGACAAATAATCTCAAACATCATCCTAATCAGCATCAACAACCTCCACTTCAGGCACACGGTCTTTACCCAAACTTCTCCATACAGAGAGAATCATTAACTCTTTTCAGTCTAATGTCTGAATCGTAATGTCCTTCATGATAACAATGAGAAGGACTGAAAGAAAAAAAGCTGCCACAAATAAATCCAAACTTGAGTGATTCTGCTCAGTGACAGGCTGGTGGGCTACAAGCTTTACATCTCTGCTTCAAATGGGAAATCAAAGAGACTGTGTTCTCATCAGCAGGCAACAGAGCCAGAGAGCTCCCTCTTTGTCCCGCGGCACGGATGTCTTGGCAGCTGGCCGTGGTGCTCGTGGCGCTATTGCCTTTTCCTAATAAATGCAGACATGAATTCAAAGGCCACATTAAAACATGGCAACATAATTAAGGCATTAATTCCCTAGACGGGAGATTTTGATAGCACAGACAAGAGGAAAGAAACCTAAAATAAAAAGAAACAAAAGGGGAAAAAAAGCTTCAACATTTTCATCAAGTAAACAATACTAGGCATATCAGCATGCAGGAACTCAGGTTGGCCATAAGCAAATGAAGACTCGGAGTTCTTGTCAGATCTGATAAAGAACAAACAACCAAACTAACTGATTTTGCACTTAATTTGGAAATCAGGTCAAAACAAAATCAAAAAAATATTTTTGGCTGGATATAAAATTGTAAGACTTTGTTAGATGCAAGGGCAGAGCCAGAGGGGTGAGTGCCCTGATTGTGGTCTGATTGGTCACACCAGGTGCCACTCCAAATGATTGACAAATGGGGGTGGGGATTGCATTTGGCAATAAAAGATGCTCAGTTAGAGCTACCAACCGCACTAAATTTCAGTTTAATATCTCTACAAGGTTAAAAATGACATTTCAAAATGACATGAGGATTGCTCTTGGCTTCCACCTTACCAAATATCAGCTCAGTTTTTCTAAAAAAAAATGGCTGAAATCAGCTTTGGTGGTCATCTTGGATTTTGTATTTACAATCAGATTTTGTTACAGATTATTCTTGGCTACTACTATATAAATTTTCAGCTGTTTATTGGCTTTATTTTAGCCCTGTGTAAAATTAGCATTAGCGGTTAGCTTAAATTAAGACTCGCTACACTACAACATATTTCAGCTCACTTAGTTTTAAAATGGCTGTATTTTATCCAGTTAAAACTTTGTGGTAAATTGCCTAATGTTGCATAAAACCAGCATAAAATATGTTTTGTGACTATAATATGCTAATTCGTCTAAAACAGTTCATAAGCCATAAAGCTAACATTTTTTTCTATTATATCAAGCTTACATCATTTTGAATCGACACACTGGCTCAACTGTAGATGCTCCGAAGGAAAAAAAATCAGTATCAAGAGAACTTTTAAAAGCCATTTATTCAAAGTCCGGAAAAGGCTCAGCATGAAAACCTAATTCAGATTCTATTAATTCACTCAGCCATTATCTTAACAGCCATGTTTTTCAAAAATATCATCACACAGGGTCACAACACATCTGCAAGCAAAATTTAGGAAGAAAAAAGAGCAAGTTTTTGACATTTCCTGAGCTCACCACTGATTCAAATCTGAGCCTTGGGACATCAGCATAGCAATTTCCCTTTTCTGCAGCGTGAACTGTTGTTGTAATAAGCATGTTGCTGGTTCACAACAACACTCCTAGCCTTCCATCACAGTACCGTGCAACATCAATCAGGACGGTGGGTACTAATGGAGCTTCGGTGGTCATCAGAGAAGGGCAGCCCGCTGATAGATGAGGGAACACGACATAAACAACCCCATGCACACACAGAAAAACACAAACACACTCCCATCAGTCTGCATTCAAGTAATGATTATGTGCTACAGTATGAGAGAAAATGCCAATCCACCCACAACACAGAGATTCAGAAATATACACAACAATGGTGTAATAAAATCTGGAAACAAGTACCATCTCCTTCCAGTTTTATTACCCTGAAAACAATCCTGGCACTGTTTTGAAGCCAACTATTTAGGTAGACACTATTAAACACAGAAAATTGGTCATATTGGATCCCAAGAGTCCAGCTGGGCCGATAGCTGTTAACCTTCTGTCTCTTTTGTCGCTGTTTTCCTCAGAACTACTAATAACCTGGTGGGGCTCATTTTGAAATGACTCAAGGGATGTTTTCATTGGTTCTCGATGAGGGGTTGATTATCTCCCACTGTTTATTCATGCAAGTTGGATCATTCCTCAGAAGTATTTTGAATTTGTATCTCAGACAAACACACCAAGTTTGTTCTGCTGTGATTACAAGTATCTCAGAAATTACACTTTGCTCACTGAGCCGCATCAAGCATCATGGAGGGAGATGTCACATGATTATAGGTTTCCTGTGTTTTGTCAGGCTTCTGAAATGTAACACTAAAAGAACGAATAAAACAGCTCTGTCCACATTGTGGTACCATACTATATACTTCCCACTGGAAAGAAAAATATTCTCTGGATTTTCAGTGATTTCATAGTTTCATGAGAAATCTGCATTTGAGCCGGTTGTCTCTACAGCCTCTGTCACCCTCCTCACATTGGAGAAACTTGACCATCTGTCAGGAAGCAATGAGCTCATTCTGATCCAAAAAGCCACTTAGGCCATAAGGGTCAACAGCAGGGACAAGGACAAAAACTGGGTCAGAGACCAATTTTGATTCCGCTCATAAAATGAAGAGCATGACATGAGCTGAATGTACAGTGTTTCTTGCATACAGTAGCTTTTATTCAAAATCTGTTTTCTTGTTTCAGTGGGGAAGTTCAGGGATTTTCCCTTCATTTGTGTTACATGAGAGTCATCTGTAGTTATGAGAAGTGTTTTCTACCTATATATGACTTTTTGGTGGATTTGGGGATGCACACAGTGGTCTTTTTCATCAGCGAGGCACACTTTATGTTCTCCACTAATTATAAACCCTTTAACATGGGAGTTAAAGCATGGGAGTTGAGTCATCAAATCACTGCTGTTGTATTTTTCATTAATTGTCCAACCTCTCTGTATTCCTGAAACACATCCCGATCTCCTTTCGTCCCTCCAGTTGTTTGATTTTATTTGTGAAGATCAGAGCATAAGGAGGCGTTTGATCTAAGTGATACATTATGAGCCAGTGAGTGAAGGACTAAAACAGCTTAATCAAGCGTTTTTGCTAAGGGCCATATCTGTACTCTGTTTATGTGCCAGGATGCTCCTCTCTCCTCTACG